GCAAGTGTGGACTGAGAGTATCCTCACTATGAGAAAGGGTTAATAAAGGAGCTTATTTTCAGTATCAAAAGTGAGGATGCCTGGGAGGAAGGGGAGCAGACTCAGCATCATGCCCTCTCCTGAGGTATCTGTATAACTTCTAAACCACTGCAAATTAGGCCTTGCTCCATGAAAACATCACCTTCCTTATTCTACAGCAAAGTATTTTTTAGAAGCCAGTGTTTGCTAATTTTCTAACATTATTAGGGAAGAGCTAGCTGGGTGCACTGTATACATTTAGCTGATCTTGATGAGCAGATGGATTATGTGTGAGAAATGTAAGAATTAGGTGATAAAATATATATTTAAAAATATATCTGTTGTGCAGATATCAGATGGTTTCACTCACTGTGGAATATAAAATAACCAAAACCAAACACAGGCAAAGTGTGTTTATAGTAAGGCTAAATCTTGAACCGAGTGAAAGAATACAGAGGTCACAGAGGGAGAAGGTGTGGGGGAGGCAGATGGGTGCGGGCACAGCTGGTCGGTGGACGGTGAGTGGAACGTGTGAACCTCTGAGAGAGCAAAAATATGACCTCCAAAATGAAACTAAATAAACCCAAATCATAAAATAAAATGCCTTTTGTGGACACACGGTTCTGGTCAGATATCCCATTGTCTATCCTTCCAGCAGCAACAGCAACACAGGGATTTGGAAATTATGGTGCTCTGGGTCCTCCAGGCGGCTCTGGGTCATTTCTCAGCCAGACTGGTCTGTTGAGGCTGCCTCTGGCCTCTGCGGTTTTTCTGTATTCAAGACTGCGGATTCCAGCTTATTTTGTTCCCTGAGGTGACATGAGGACCTGCTCTGTGGGATTCACAGCTACATGAAGCAAGCACAGCGTGGTGGGAGGGAGCCCCCAACTTGTGGGACCCGAAGCCAACTCCAGGTTGCTGGTCTCAGAATAGACTTGAATTTCAGGAACACAGTGGGGATCGGAGAACTGACTGGAACTTGGAACTTGCCATCCCACGAAGAGAAAGTGAGTCAGAGTTAGCAAGCGAACCCCTCCCTCATCTCATCCCAAGCAAAAAAGGAACAAAATGTAAGCATTTCTACATCGTGCCCTCGGTCTGCTTCCAGCTTCCCATGGTCCAGACTTTGAGCGACAACACATCTAAACAGGGCCGGCTGGAGAGAGGGTTTTGCTAGTTTGTTTGGCCCTTTATGGGAAACACATAAAAACTGGCGAGTGTTAGATATCCTCTTCCCTGAGACATTTCCATGTACACAGAAATATTAATACTGATCTAGAACAACAGTGCACCCACAGATAAGCCCTGCTCGCATCTTATGGACCTGGGGGTTCTGATCTTAATAAGAGACAGTCAGGGAGATGACATCTGCATGATCTTCCCAGCACCCCACAGTGACAATCTGTGAGAATAAACTGGAGAGACCAAGGGTGGCCCCAATATGTAGAATCAAGGGATTGAGGGAAGAATGTCTTTCACTTATTACTTGTTGTCCCAGACAAACGTGAGTGCCTGCCGCTTACCGGGGAAAGTTCTATCTCACGTCGTTGCTCCAAAGGTTGAGATTGTCGTTCTTGTACAGACCCTCACCTCCTGCACCTGAACTCTCTTCTACATTAGAAAATTCCACACATAAAGAACCTTGGGAAGAGGTGGAGAAAGAAACCTATTTCTCATTCTTGCATGTGGACACTGCTCAAGGCCCCACCAGCCAGTACAGAAGGCCCTGGACAAGGGTGGTATGATCGGCAGCGATAATGTCCAGCTGTCAGTGTCATCAGTGATGGAGCCAGAGCCGCAGGCCTACTGTGATCAGGGGGTGTCTGTGGTGTGATCAGTGACATCTGTGTCCAGCAGCTGGGGCAGCTCTTCCTTGGGAGACTCCCCAGGTGGACTGTTGTAGATGGTACATTCAGTTCCTGGATGTGTAACCTCAACCGTATCCTTTGCCCAATATAATATTAGACCTTAATATTATAGACCAGTTTTGGACTCCATTGTTTTTTTATTAAGTCAGTCTGAGAACGATTAAGACAGCAGACGTTCCGGGACTTCCCTTCTGCTGAACTGTGAGGCGCCTCCTAAATCTTCCACCTGACTATAATCACCTGTCATAATTGACAATAGAAGTTCTCCCTTCCTTTTCTTTCTGAGGAAGAACAATAAACAGTTTTCCACATTGGTGTAGCCTCCTCACCAGCCCCACCCCCACCCCAGGCACTGTCTGATCACTGACTGCTGTGACTCCACTTCTAGCCGGGCACTAGCATGACTTGGGGAACTTCTTGAAATACGCAGTCATCTCCAGACCCTCCAGCTCAGAGTATCCGGTCCAAACCAAAGGCTCACCTAATTAAAGAACTCTGCAGCTCAGCTGATGCACAGCCATGCAGGATGCCCGAAGCTGCCTTTGCTACCAAACGTGTGGCCAAGCCCAGCACATCAGCAGCAGAATCTCAGGCTCCAAGCTTTCTGATTTAACAAAGATCCCTGTGCACCTTAGAGTCTGGGACTCCCTGGTCCACCTGCCTCCTGGAAGGTGATGAGCCAGAAGGCGCAGTCACTCCTGGCGTGGGGGCTGATGGGATTGCTCAGAGCCGGGAGCCCGGTGGCCAGTCTTTGTTGCTTCCCCTTCTAGTCTTTTCGACAGTCATCGCTTCCATGGCACCTACATTCTTAAGGCTTTAAATGTCATTTAATGTTACCATCTTCCACCTCCCAAGGGCATCATCAGCCCAGACATTTCTCATTCAAGACACACCCCTGCACTGAGGGTCCCCTGCTGGAAAGATCTTCCTCAGACATCTTGTGATAATTTCTCAAGTTCTTCACATCTTTCCTCAAAGGTTACCTTCCCAGTGAAGCCACCTTTGCCACCCAACTGAAAACGGCCGCCTTCCCGCCCACCCCCACCCTCTGGATCACCTTCCTCTCTGTATTTTCCCCACCGCTTCATGTGGATGCTGTAATGTGACACGGATGTCACCTCCACTTTCCCCCAAGGTGCTGTTCACTCTCCCATCTCCCATCTCTCCCTCCCACACCTACTCTCCTGCACACCATGCTTATAAGTGTAAATATACCTCTTTTCAAAAAACAATGATCCTTTGCTTATGGGAACGATTTTCCAAGCAAATATAAACCTAAAGTAGAATCTGCTTTATAAACCATGAGTTTTGTGGGGAGCCAGGACTGGGGTTACCAAATCTAAGGGCAGAGAGAGGATGGTGAGTGGAGCAGAATACCAACTCCAGTTGAAGATGAAAATTATGGGATCTGTCCTCTGCTGATTCCAGAATGAGGTTCCTTTGAGAAGGTTGGGGAAAGACTGGAAAGTACTCAAACCCTAGAAAGAAGGTGAGCATCATTAGTGTGGGAATTCATTCCCCACACCACAGAGACGCCTATGCGCTAAGGCCACGTTAGGCCACGTAGGGACAGTGACAGACACTGTTGCTGTCAGAGATGAGAGAAACTCAGAGGATTGAATACAGAACTTGCACACAAAACAGGAATATCCTTAATCCTCTATGGAATCTAAGGGGAAAAAATCACAAATATCCAAAAGAGGGGCTGAGGCCCAAGTCTCACCTAAATCTAGCTGAACCGGTTACACCGAGCCTCCACCCACTCCCAGAGACTGGAAGGCCCAGGTGGTGTCTGAGTCCCTGTGGCCACAGGCCCTGCTGGGACAGGTGCCACTGAGGGACAGGGACATGAGAGCAGAGAGATGACCCCCGAGGAGTGGCCACGTCACAGCACACGATGCCCTGAGCACTGACTGGACACAGCCCTGTTCCCACCCCCCCCACCCCACCGTGGCCCTCACAGCCTCTCCTGCCCCCACCTGCACAGACTAGCATAGCAGTTCTGACTGGGCCTCTGTCTCCTAGTTATTTATTCTCAAATTGTAGTAATCTTTCTAATTAACCCTTCACTCCCATATGGCAAGGCAAGAAAAATAATTTTATATCTGGCCCTCCCTGGTGGCACAACAGGTTAAGGTGCAGCACTGCAAAGCTGATGCAAGTGTGATCCCGGCCCCGGAGTTGATCCACATGGTGCAGCAGACCTCTCCTGACCCACCCGCTGCTCCCCTCAGCAGTGTACTTCCTTAATCTGCCTGTTCTGCTCCACACTCTGTCTCTGGTGAAGCCTCTTACTACCCCTGCACCTCTGGCCCTGAACCTCACTACCCCTGCAGCTCTGTATGCATAAAAAAAAACTTAGAAATAATAATTTCATATCTGCATTATTATTATTTCCAACAGGGAAGTGGACACTATTCTGCAGGAAAACCCACAGTGCAGCAGGGATAGGGTCAGCCCTGCCGCTGCTGGAGCGGGACCATCCTCAGCGAGAGAGAGCACAGGTCAGGGGGGACGGGCCTAGGGGGCAGGGCTGGGCCAGGCTCCCCACTTGAGCACACTCAGTTAATAGAAACATAGAAAGTTCAGATGCCTTTTTAGCAGTAAAAACCAGGGGATCTTGAAAGCACAAAGTAGAGATGAGAAGAAACCCTGCATCAATCAGTCCCCACAAGGCAGCTGTCTCACACTGTGAAGGAAAATGGTCACAAAAGATTCAAAGAACGGCCCTCCCTGGTGGCGCAGCAGGTTAAAGTGCAGCACTGCAAGCTAGCTGCAGTTGCTTCAGTGCGAGTTTGATCCCCAGCCCCGGAGGTGACCACATGGCAGAGCAGACCTCTCCTGTCTTGCCTGCTGCTCCCCTCAACAGTGTACTTCATCAATCTGCCTGTTCTGCTCCCCACTCTGTCTCTGGTGGATCCTCTCACCACCCCTGAACCTCTGGCCTGCACCCCAGTTCTGTATGCATAAATAAATAAAATCTTTAAAAAAAAATCAAAGAACATATCAATATTGACTATCCCCCTCACAGGTCCCCATAACCTGGTCCCTACTCTCTGCCCCAGCCCCTCCCACACAGGCCTCAGGGTCTCACCTTTACGGCTGAGAGACACATCAGGGCTCTGGAAACTGGCTGCCTGGGGGAGAACAACACAGACCTGGTCAGAGCCCGAGAGAGGAGACCACAGGAGGGGCTGATGGGGTGACTCCCCCAGGGGCTCCATCTACACTGTCCCAGGGGCTCAGGGACCAAACCCTGATCCACACTCACCTGCAGCCTGAGTGTAGCTTCCTCCTTGTCCCCCTGTGGGAAGAGACAGCGTGTGAGACCAGGGAGGAGTCAGGTCAGAAGCCTAAAGGAATCCCCAAGTATGGGGCATACAGAAGTTTTCAGAACTGTGACTGATCAAGCAGGGCAGAAGTAGAAAATGTGAACAACTGAATTGGGAGGGGATTGGTCCAACTGCCTCCTGGATAGTCTATCCTTAGCAGGGAGTCAGGTCCTTATCACCAGAAATATCAGAGATCGATTTGTAATTCATTTTCATAAGTGCATTACAAAAGAGTGTTAGCAATTCGCTCTAGATAGGGCAACAGTGTGTAGATGGTGCTTCCCACTAATTTAGAGAGCAATTTGTACCTGGAACTTTAAAACGATAGTGGTAAGATAACCCCACCCCACCGTTCCCTTTTGTACTGAGCCTTTCTTCCTCCATATCACAAGTGCAGCCACCATAACTGCATTGAGTTTAGCTCCAAGGAGAACCAGGCCAGCAATGATGACCATGGAGGGGGCAGTAGACTGAGGAGGGGGCACTGGAAGGGAGAGGCAGGTAAGATCCTGACCCCCAGTTCTCATCCTGACCCGCTGAAGTTTCCCAGAAGGGCCCCTGATCCCGAGAGGAGCCTCTGTGCCCACGTCCCCTCCTCACCCCATCTCAGGACTCGGGGCTCCAGCAGCCCCACATGCTGCACATGGCACGTGTATCTCTGCTCCTCTCCAGAAGGCACCACCACAGCTGCCCACTTCTGGAAGGTTCCGTCCCCCCCAGGCCTGGTGTCCACCAGCTCCATGTCCTGGATCAGGTTCTCCCCATCTCGCTGACGGGTCAGGGTGATCTCCACAGGGTAGAAGCCCAGGACCCGGCACTTCAGGGTGACCTCATGGTCAGAGGTGGGGTGGTGGGTCATATGTATCTTTGGGGGATCTGAAGGAAAAGCATTAGAAAATTCACACTTTGGGTTTCCTCCACGGACACTGAGGCAGTCTCACATGACCATCCTCAGAATGGACATGGCATTGGTTTGGAGGAGGAAGCACAAAACCCAGAGCGCAGCCCTGTCTGGGGAATCTGGGATCATGGGGTGAGGGCCCAGGGTGGGAGGGTACAGGTCTCTAAGGAGGACACAGACTCTGCTCCTGACCTGGGCGGGGGTGAGTGACACAGAAAGGCAGAGTCAGGTCCAAAACTGTTCTCAGACCACTAATAATACCTGGAGAGAGAAACTCAAGGTTCCCAGGATGGCTGCCAGGTTAATACACCCAGTGAAGGGAGATTTCAGGGATGATCTTGCTAGATGTTTAGGGCAAAGAGAGCACTGCCTAAAAAAAATTAAATACCCAACAACACCCAGGCCCCCAGTACACTCATGCCAGAGGTGAAAACTCCCATGAATAGCTAAGAAATTCCCAGAGGGGAGAAAAGCAGTTTTCCCCTTTATCCCCCCCACCCCAAACCCTCCCCCCACACTCAGAGGCGGGATGACCTAGCACAAAGAGAGCAAGACACACCTGTAGTGGAAAATTTCTGGAAACTGGACAGTATCTGGATAATAAGGCAATTCCCCTATGCAGGAAAAGCAGCATCTGGGAAAACCTCAATGCTCTCCCACTCCCAGGGGGAAGGTGGGGCCTGCTGATACCAAGGCAACTCATGCCTACCTGTCCCCCTGCCCAGCCTGCTCCTGGGCCATAGGCCAATAGCCCAAGATCACCTGTGTGGTGCGCTGCAGGAAGGGAGGAGTGAGCAGCTACTGCACCCCACCTAGGGCAAAAGCCTCCCCTTCCCAATTCCCTGGCAGTGGTTTTTCCAAAGAACTCTACCCTCCCAGGGTAGAGTAACTTTTAATTCTGTCTCTAGATAAGCTTTGCTCTCACTTCTGCTAGAGCGACTGTAAGCTCTTCTCACACCATATTCAAAGACCAAGGAACCCCTAAATTCACAGACACCAAAACCTGACAACAGGTTCTCTTTTGGAGAGCCTGAACCCCTTAACAGTCCAGAAAAAGTAGGCCCCTTGGGAGGATATCTCTCTGGCACAGACTGTGAAGCCCAGGCAGGCTCCTCTTCCCCCACCAGAAAGCTGGCGCTGTTATGACTTACTCCGTTTTCCTCTTAGAGGGAAAGGACTGGAGGGCTCGAGGCCCCCTGGCCTTTCTTATTTGCACGTTGTAGCACCTCCTTCCCAAAATCCTGCTGTCTGCGCAGCCCCTCCGCACACGCCCCCTCCACCTCATAGTTCCTGAAGCGCTCTGCCTCCCCGGCCTCCTCCCACTTGCGCCGGGTGACCTGAGCTGCCGTGTCCGCCGAGGTCCAGGAGCGCAGGTCCTCCTGCATAGGCGTCTGGAGGGTGTGAGACCCTGTCCTCGCCAGGTCAGCCCCGCGGTCAACCCCCTGCATCCAGATCACCCTCCCTGAATAAAGTTAACTGAAAAGGAAAGCCGGTGACAGTCCTGCGGGTGGAGGGTCGGGGAGCATCCTACAGCTGGGGTATAGTCAGATCCGCAAGGTGAAGGGGATCTGGCATGTGAGGGAGCTGGCCCCGGCCCGCGTCGCTCTTCGGCTCTGCTTTGTAGTAGCCGCGCAGGGTGTCCAGACTCTCGGAAAGTCGGGGTGTTGTTCCTTTGGACCCGCGGCTCCTGCCCCGCCCAGGGCGCCCGCGGCTCCGCACTCTGACGGGATAGTCGCTGTCGAGCCACCCGAACTGCGTGTTGTCCACGTAGCCCACGGCGGTGACGCGGGGGTGCCCGAGGCCGGTCCGAGACTTAGCGGTGGAGAAATACCTCAGGGAGTTAGGGCCCTGGGGGCGGGAGGGAGACCCGGGCTGACCCTCCTCCCTGTACTTCCGGGTGCCAGGGAGCAGGAAGGCGTGAGGGGCGAGGCTCTTAGGATTTATAAGGGACCAGCCCAGGGTACCCAGAAGAGGGCAGGAAGCTGGGAGGGGCAGAAAGGATTGCGGACACAGCGGGGGGTCCAGTGGTGCCGAGGGGTTGGGTAGGAGGCAGTCTTTCCAGGGACCTTGCCCCCAGCCAGCTCTGGTTCCTCCTGAAACTCCCGCCAATAGCAAACGTGTCCCTCCCAACCCGCACTCACCTGCCCAGATCTCTGTCAGGGCCAGGGTCGCCAAGAGCAGCAGCAGGAGGGGTGGCAGCTTCATGACCCTAGTCTTAGGGGTCTGTGGAGAATATGGGGTCAGTGGAGACTGTATAGCTGGGGCGAGTTTACGCTTCTTGACTTCCCCAGAAAACCTCCAGGAAATGGGGAGTGAGAGCCCAGAGGAGCCACAAGAGTAGGGGCCGAGACTCCCCACCCTGCCCCCCCCCCCAGACTCCCCAGCCTGCCCCACCCCACCCCCATTGTGAGAAGAAGTGAAACTGCTGGGAGGCGAGAATGCCCCCAGACACTGCCTCAGGAGCTGAGACCCCAGAAGCAAATCCTGGCCCCTGGGACTTGGCCTGCCCTTCCTCTCCTGCTCCAAGACCTTGATCTCACTGTCTCCCTGAGTCTTGGGTCTTGGAGTCTCAAACATGTTGGTCAGATTCTCTGCAGTCTTACCAAGTAGCGAGGACCCCGAGTGTAATTATGTCATGTGGGTTGTAGCTACTAGTACTTACTACACTAGGAATAAAAAGGTTTCTCTTAATGCTGTTATTTTACTTAGACTAATGTCAATTACCTATTATATAAAAACAAAAAGAGTGTTTTTTTTTTAAAGATTTATTTATTTGCTCATACAGAACTGGGGTACAGGCCAGAGGCTCAGGGGCGAGAGGATTCACCAGAGACAGTGCGGGGAGCAGAACAGGCAGACTGACAAAGTACACTGCTGAGGTGAGCAGCGGGTGGGTCAGGAGAGGTCTGCCACGCCATGTGGACTCCTCCTCCTCGGGGCAGGCGGGAATCGAACTCATGCGGAAGTGGCTTTAGCTTCTCAGTGCTGTGCTTTAACCCGCTGCGCCACCAGGGAGGGCCGTGTTTTTTTTTTTTTTTTAAGATTTATTTATGCATACAGAATGGAGTGCAGGCCAGAGGTGCAGGGGCAGTGAGAGGATTCACCAGAGAAAAGTGGGGAGCAGAACAGGCAGATCAACAAAGCACAGGAGAGGTCTGCAGCCCTGTGGGTCACCTCCGGGGCTGGAATGGAACTCATGCTTGTTTTTGTCCCAACTTCTGTGACTGGCCTCAAGAAAGGAAGGTGGGAGGCAGAAAGGCTGAGCAAGCAGAGTTTATTGCTCCAGGAGTGTAGCTGAGACGGAGCCCCTAGGGTGGGGTCCGCAGCTACTGCCAACTCAATAAGGGGGAGGGTTTCTTATATAGATTCTAAACTCAGATTCCAAAGGGGGTGACACGCCGCTGTGTCTTTGATGTGAGGCCCAGTTCGCTGTCACCTTCAGCTAGTCCCATCCAGGATCTCAAGGTCAGTTTACTACCACTTTATCAAGCTTGGATGCAAGGCTCAAGTCTTTACCGCCCTAATTCAGTCCTTGTCAGCAAATCTTTGGTCACTCCCAACAATGCTGAGTGTCTTTAGCTTCTTAGTGCTGTGCTTTAATCCTCTGCTCCACCAGGGAGGGCCCAACAAGAAGTGTTTTTAACAAAAATATTTACTTCTGAAAATAGGTTATGAGTAGTGGATTTTTTTATATTTTATATCTTTCCAAGTATGTTTCTTGTCTGTTTAATTAGAAGATAGATTTTCATATTTTCTTCTGCATTCATTCTATTGTTTGTGATGAAGTCTATGAAAAAAATATATACAGCCTCACACACACATGCACAAGTAGTATTTAATAGCTTTTTAAGATAATTATGTATTTTCAACTTTGATACTAAATTAAAATCTGTTAAGTAGCAATTTCTCAAATGTTATCCCCAAGCCTGAAACAGTATCATTGAATGTTTCCTATTGCTACATTCCCAAAGACTCTGCTTGCATATTGAAATGATCTTATAGTACTGTATGAATTTTTTTTAAGCAATACATTATTTCACTAGGTTATATAGATCTTCACCATTAATTAAT